TGTTTGTTTGTTTGTTTGTTTGTTTGTTTGTTTGTTTGTTTGTTTGTTTGTTTGTTTGTTTGTTTGTTTGTTTGTTTGTTTGTTTCAGGACATCCCACTTACTGTGCTGGACTCCCTTGACATGAGAAACCAGGGTCGCACCCAAATTATATCTTTAGTCCTGGGATGCTGAGAGAGAAAAGCTCAAACTGCTGTGAAATTATGCTTCAACATATAACCTACTGCATCATTTCATCAGCAAAACTACCTTCCAAAGTTGTGACGTCAGAGCAGATGTGGGTTTTTGTAATGGGAACTCCTCCCCACCAGGGGGCGGTGTCGCATCTTATCTTCCCTGCTGCTTCCTGCTAAGGCCGACGCTAACAATGGCAGCTTCTTCAGAGTTGCAGCTGGATCTCCTTCCTTCAGACCCGCTGCTGCACATTTTGTCATATTTGAGTTTCAGAGACCTGGTCCAGTAAGTATCTGACACCACGTATAAACAAAACGATAAACAGCGAATATTTTTTGTTTAAACTGACACGTAAACAGACAGCAGGAGTTTGACGGCTAACACGGCTTATTGCAAACAGCTGCGTTAGCACAACATGTAGCTGCTGATTTGTTTTAGTTTCTCATCAAATATATCAAAGCTGTGTTTTCCCCCGTGTTTACAGACAGAACTTATTAAAACAGGACGGAAATTAAAGTTTACACGTCGCGCTAAGTTAGCATGACAACTTTTATTCTTTCAAACAGTAAAGATAAAGATCTTGTTTACAGTTAGCCGCCTGCTAACTGCGAAAGTTTGTTTACGTTTGTGTTTTAACTATTCTGATGTAAACTAAGTGGGTTTTTCAAATCAAGCTGATTAGTTTTGAGGTACACAATATAAAAATATATGTAAGTTGTTCGTACCTTAAATAAAAATAAAAATGTTTTGCAAATGTGTTGAACCTAAAAACTTAGAGTTGAAAAGAATGTGACAACTAAAAATTAAGCAGCACTAAAAAGTTATCAGATTTGGTAGATGAGGATAACAGTTTTAACTATCGGCCATGTACCAAATAAGACTGAAAACATTTAGTTCATGGTAAATGGTAAATAGACTACTTATAGGCGCCTTTCTGACCATCCAGGACACTCAAAGTGCTTCACACTACAGACATTAACAAACACACACACACTCACACACTGATGATGGCAAACTACACTGTAGCACAGCTGCCCTGGGGCACACTGACAGAGGCGAGGCTGCCATACACAGGTGGCACCGGACCCTCTGACCCCCATCAGTAGGCAAGGTTCATGTGCAAGAAATGCAGCTTCAAGCTGAATAAAAACACGTGGGTTTAACTGATTTACTTCCACTGTTTGTTGCTTTATTAACTATTAAATACAAATCTGATTTATATTTTAAACTTTGCCTATGTTAGTTGAAAACAAAAAGTTTACTAACATTAATTAGTAAGCCTTTTACTATGGCCCCACCCTCTCTGTGTGCAGCTGCAGTTATGTCAGTAAGAGGCTAAACGAGCTGTCCAAACACAACCCACTGTGGAAATGTCACTGCTGTAAACACTGGCTGCTGACTGAGTGAGTTTACTTCAACACACTAAAACCTTCTCTTTAACTTCACACCAGTCTGAACGTGTGTGTGTGTGTGTGTGTGTGTATGTGTGTGTGTGTTCAGTGCGGATCGACTGCAAAGTGGTCTCTCCTGGTATAACCTCTTTAAGCAGTACTACTCTGACCTGGGCCAGTACATCAAGTACTACGCAGTGCTGAAGAAAGCCTGGGAGCAGCTGAAGAGCTTCTTGCATCAGAGATGTCCTCGTATGATCACATCGCTCAAAGGTACCATAGATTGTTTTAACTACATCTGTTTCTGCCATAATCTGTGGAATGTGCCCAGTATCAATGACAGCGTTAAACCACCATCACTGTGCTGCTCAGTTTGATGTTATTTATTTATTTTTCAAAACTTGTATTTCCTACATCGTGGGGACAATTTCCCCCCAAAAAAACAGCCTTGTGGGGACCAAACATGCATCTTGGGGACCAAAGCCCGGTCCCCACAGGTACGAATGCAAATTATGGGTTGGGGGTCCGGTTTAGGACCAAGGTGTGAATTGAGTTTAGTTAGTTTTAGGGTCAGGTACCTGTGAGGTAAATTTTAGGGTAAATTGGTCAGGGTTATGATTAGGGCTGGGCAATACCCCCCCCCCCCCCCCCCCCCCCCCCCCCCCCCAAAAAAAAATCACATTTTTTTCATCCCAAATTCAATTTTCGATTTTAATCGATTTTGCTTCCCACTTAACAGAGTGCCTCTGTTTCAGGTGTTGAAACAAAATTGTTGTACTCCTGCTTTTTATAGCAAGTACTGCTAAACCTAACCAGTTCCAGAAAACTGAAGAAACAGTGCCTTCTTTTGAGAAGTAGATCCTCCCTGCTAGCTGTCATATTCTCATAGCCTGGCCCATGCCTTCCTACACAGCTCCGCTCAATTCTAGTTGTTTCCCTTCACTGCTCCGTCTGGGACTTCTCCCATTGAGATGGATTTCGTTKGCAGATTTTTAGCCGGGCCAATCAGAGAAGAGAACGTCAATTTTCTGCGCAGTGTTTGCTTGTAGTTTATTTTACCTGGGCCAATCAGAGAACAGAAGGTGGAGTTTTGAATAACGTTGTTGTTCTGCACAGTGTCTGCTAGTTATTTTAGCATACGGCAGTGGAGGAAGTGAATGAAGCCAGTCCGTGTTGATAAGGCTTCTAAATTAAATTCAATTTGTCTGACAAAGCAGCAGCTCTCATTTACAGTCGTCTCGTTCGGCTCGGTACTTTTCTCCTCTCAGTAGGGTTGTTTACAGCACACGCGATTTCCGGTTAGCTTCTTAGCTTAGCCTCCGTCACACTGACAACACACACACACTTCAGCAGAAGCCACGCCTCCTGCAAGAATCGCTTCTCTATGCATCAAGTCCAGACCCTTGTACGAAGCAAAGTGAAGGACAGGATCTGGTTTAAACCAGTCTAATAGTGTCATGTCGTGTACCAAGCATCTTGAGGGACTGGTGGGCTTACCTCTAAACTACAGAAACCCCATAGAGTGCACTGGTGGGAAAAAAAAATCTCGATTTTCCCAAAATTAAATCTTAATAGATGGCAAATTCAAATTAATTGAGTAAATCTATTTATCGCCAAACCCTAGTTAGGATAAAAAATAAGAAGGGAAGTCAACCCACAGTCCCCACAGGGATATAAATCCAGACGTGTGTGTGTGTGTGTGGGTTTCAACAGTAGGGTTTTGTTGAGAACATGTTTGTGTCTCCGTGATGCTCCTCCTGCAGTGGTTTAATTCGTGTTTTCCTCCTCAGACGGTGCCACAGAGTTGGAGTTGAACGATATCGAGGCTCAGATCGACTGTAAGCTGCCTGATGATTATCGCTGCTCGTACCGGATCCACAATGGCCAGAAACTGGTCATCCCTGGGTCAGTTTCAGTGTGATGGTCTGTCCCCCACGCTATCTCTGTCCAAGTCTGATGGATCTGTCCCTGTGTCCTCAGGCTGATGGGCAGCATGTCTCTGTCCAACCACTACCGCTCGGAGGTCCTGCTGGACGTGGAGACAGCAGCCGGAGGTTTCCAGCAGAGGAGGGGCATGAGGCGCTGCCTGCCGCTCACTTTCTGCTTCCACACGGGCCTCAGCCAGTACGTGGCGCTGGAGGACGCTGAGGGACGCAAGAAAGGCGAGAGCTTCTACCCCTGCCCTGTGCGTGCACTTCCTGTCCACCTGTCCTTTCAGCACAAGTGTCAGTTTTATATAAATGAGTGTTTTTGTGTTTTTTCAGGATCAGACAGCTCAGGATCCTTCAGCCATCGACATGTTCATCACAGGTCTGTTGATTTCTGTAGATCTAAACTGTCTGCAGCTCTGGTTTGTGTTTAAATTCAACTGTCTGAAACGTTTCCTTATTTAATCAGAGGGTGGTCATTCAAACAGCTGCAGGAAGTGAGAGATCAGTCCAGACAGGGCAGAGATATCAGCTGGGATCAGAACGTCTAAAATCAGACAACAAATCTAGATTTATCACAGAGGATAAATCATGTGACTCAGTCCTGAGATGTGCAAAAGAAACTCTGCTGCTCTGAACTGAAACTTCTAGAAGAAACAAATCAAACGTATTCAAAGGCTTAAACATTTCTTTTAATCTTAATTACATTTCTGGTAATTCCTTTTAGAAAACTCTAAATCATGTCTTGTTCTTACAGGTTGAACAAAAACAAAACCAATCTGTTTACTCCTTGAACCTGGCATCAGTTTTCTGCCAGACCTGAACAGAGACCGACTGAACAGGTTTTAGTTTTGGGGTTTGAAACGAAGCCAGGAGTCATAAAACTTGTTGATAGAGGAGATGTGGATGATAACAAAAACCTGTTTCTGCTGCACTTTTTTTTAAAATTTAGACTCCAAAAGTCAATGACTTAAACCTACAGTCTCTGATGATCAGAACAGAAAACACACTTTTTTTAATAGCTGTTGTGAATGTTTGTGAGTCTTCTGCCAGTTGTAAGTTCCTGTGACGTGATCATTCTTCTAACATAAAAAAGTCAAAACATCTTTATATTTAAGAAACTGAGCATAATACATACCTGTAAAGTATGATTTTTACGCATTTTGTTTCAAAACTGGGAACTCCCTGGTCTTTATTTATACAAACAGTTTTATGTGAACCCTTGGTTCTTCGTCTCTCACTGATGGACTCAAATAATCTAAAGAAACATCAGATTCTTCTCTGCAGTCTGTGCTGTCAGCTGTTGTAGCAACGCTGTGTTCCCAAGCAGACATTCCTCTTTGTCATCACTTCTTTGCAAAACATAAATGTCACAGGCACTATAAGTTTACTTTTAGCTAAAAGAGGGGCAATGAGCAGAGAAAAGTATGTAATTGTTGCAGGTTTACAGACTATTTTTCATCTGCATGTCAGTATTACAAAGGAATAAGTAACAGGGGAACAATTAATAAGATAACTAGTAAATTCCTTAGGGCCACAACTAACGATTTTAATAATCGATTAATCTATTGATTATTTTTCTGATAATCGATTAATCAGCCAAATCATTAAAATGCTTAATTACATAAATATGAGTTGATATAAATTAATTTAATTCCTTTATAAATTAGGCATGCAAGTTATTGATTAATGAATTAATCTGAAGTTGATTTATCTTATAGATTGACTAACAATTAATTGATAAGCAGCCATTTTCTTAAAAACCGGAGTTTTTTATTGAATCAAGAGGCTCTTTTCATAAAATGAAGGATTTTTTAAATAATCTCCTGAATTAAAAAACAGAAGCACATAATACATATTTCAACAATTAATTTTGCCAGCTGTATTAAATACTGACTGAAAAAAATG